GAGGCTTTGCATGATGCATACTGGGTAAATGCAATGCAAGATGAACTCAACCAATTTGAAAGGATTCAAGTTTGGCATCCGGTACCAAGACCCAAGGATATATCAGCAATTGGCACAAAATGGGTCTTCAGAAACAAATTTGATGAAGATGGAACAGTTATAAGGAACAAGGCAAGATTGGTGGTTCAAGGATATATCCAAGAGGAGGGCATAAACTATGATGAGACCTTTGCTCCAGTTGCAAGGTTGGAACCAATAAGACTCCTCATAGCCTTTGCTGCTTACATGGAATTCACTCTTCACAAGATGGGTGTCAAGAGTGCCTTCCTCAATGGCTATTTAAAGGAAGAAATTTTTGTCAAGCAACCTCCATGGTTTGAAAGCAAGGAGTGTCCTGATCATGTGTACAAACTTGACTAGGCACTTTATGGGCTCAAGCAAGCTCCTAGAGCATGGTATGAAAGATTATCAAAATTCCTGCTTGAGCATGGCTATAAGAGAGGTAAAATTGATAACACTTTATTCTTGAAGGAACAAGGTATGACCTCCTAGTAGTGCAAATATACGTTGATGATATAATCTTTGGAGCAACTACTAATAAACTAAGTAAGGAATTTTCTAAACTAATGGGGAGTGAATTTGAAATGAGTATGATGTGTGAACTTAATTTCTTTTTAGGCATACAAATTACAGAACTCAAATAGAACTAAGATCCATCACTAGAAATATGTGAAAGAGTTGCTTAAAAGGTTTAAAATGGAAGAATAAAAAGAAATCGATACTCCTATAGCAACAACCACAAAATTGGTTATATATGAACCTAGTTCATCTGTTGATCAGAAGTTGTATAGAGGAATGACTGACTCTCTTTTACATCTCAGTGCTAGCAGACCTGACATTGTTTTCAACGTAGGTCTTTGTGCTCGATTTCAGGCAAATCCAAAGGAGTCCCACTTGACTGCTGTCAAGAGAATATTGAGATACTTGAAAGGCACAACTGACCTTTGTCTTTGTTATCCAAAAGGTAGTAATTTTAACCTAGTGGGATATGCTGACGTTGATTATGCAGGTTTCCTTGTGGATAGGAAGAGTACCTCAGGTATGGCACACTTTCTTAGTTCATGTCTTGTGTCATGGGCTACCAAAAAGGAAAATTCTATGGCCCTATCTACTGCTGAAGCTGAGTATGTTGCTACTGCTTCATGTTGTGCTCAATTGCTATGGATCAAACGACAACTATTGGACTTTGGAATTGATGTTGGTTGTATCCCTATATTTTGTGATAATACTAGTGCCATTAGTATGACAAAGAACCCGGTTCATCATAAGAGAACTAAGCACATAGAAGTTAGGCACCATTTTTTTAGGGACAACTATGAGAAAGGTTTGATCACTGTGGAGTTTGTGCTACAGACAAGCAAATAACTGACATCTTCAGAAAAGCCTTAAGTAGAGATTACTTTGAGAGGAACAGGTTAGAATTAGGGATTATTAAGATCACCTAAAAGGACCAGTTCAAAGTTAAACGAAAAAAATTAAAAAAAATATTTTTTTGGTTAGAAAGTCTATAAATTGTGTATAAGTAGATTAAATCTTGCTCAGTCTCATACTTTCGATAGTATACTCCTGTGCCATGTGCTAAAATGACTCATTAATCTCTAATGCTATTTTCTCTATTTTGGAAAATTTAGACTTGCATGAGAGAATTTTCAATGAAGAACCTGGTTCATCAAGTAAAATAGGTATATTTTCTACACTATGCATAATTTGAAATAATTATATTTGGATCATGAGAAGATTCCTACCTAATTCCAAACTCTTTTGGACTTATCTGTTACAAGTGAACCAGTTCCATTCAAAAGAGTCCCAACCGAATTGAAGTACCTAGATTTTAGGGATACACTCCAATGACTCTGCAAAATTGAATTTCAGTTTGATTAGACTTCTAAGAGTCTGAAAAACTGTCGTTACACCATTAATTACTCCTCTTTAAATTGATTAGCTTTAGTGTATTCCTTACTTCATCTATCTAAAGCCGCCAAAAACTCTCATTCTTTTTCATCTCCCAAACACAATCTAGTTCTCTTCTCTTCCAGAACCAAGCACAGAAATGTCCAACACTTCTGAAAACCCTTCATCACCACCACCTAAAACAACTTTCTCACCCACTATCACTCCTTCCAAAATCCCAACCTCTAAGAAAAGAGTAAAATAGATGGCTCGCAAGATTGTTGCTGGTGGAGAGCAGATTAAGAAAATTAACGAACAACTGAAGGCGAGTAGGGAAGAGGAATCCCAGAAATCTGAAAATTCATTAAAGTCTGCTATTGAGGGGGGAGAAAGTGGTTCTTCCGAAACTGAAAAAGTATCTTCTGGTCCAAAAGTTACTCCTGAGACAATTTCTGAAGTCGCTGCAAATTTGGAGAATAGATTTGTACTAGTAGGGTCTATAGCAAGTGTTGAGACTACAGAATCTGGAGAAGTTGGTGGTAAAAACAAAAAGGGAAAAGAAAAAGAGAGCAATGGTGGTAGGAGTGCTGTGAGGGGAAAGGGTAAAAGAGTGCTTGATTCTTCACCCACTCCTGTTGGTCTAACAAAAGAAACTGGTGCAATGGTTGTTTGGGGAGAGGAATTTACTAAAATAAAAGAGAGTGTGAGCAAAACAGGGGGAAGTGGGTCTGGCGAAGCTGCTGAGGGGTTGGTTCAACTTGGAAAAAATATACATGAACCTGTTCCATCTGAGCAGGAAACCCTCGCGGACCTACTGATAGGGTTATAAATGTCTCCAAGACTCATGTCATTCCATATGGCTTCATTCTCACAGTTGTGCTTGCACATTTTAAGGTACCTATAAAGAAGTGGGAGGTTGGTATAAGCAAGAATCACTTTGGGATTAATACTCTGCTTGCTTGTGACTATGTAGTCCATGCCACTCCTAAAGAAACTGGTTCATCCAAGAAGGTACCAGTGAATATCGAGGTGCGAGAGTTAGTGCAAGAAAGTCGGGCTAAGGATGCTGAGACTGAGAGGCTGAAGAAGAGGTTGGCTGAGGTAGAGACTGAGAGGGATGCTCTCAGAACTGAGCTGGCAAGAGAAAAAAAGAAGAATGATGGCATTCTTCAATATATGCTGAAACTCCTCCAAGCCAAAAACCAAACACCTAGTTCTTCTCAGCCTTAAGCCTCCTAGCCTAGTGTAGATCAGCCAGTGACCCAGTTGGGGACTTTTTGTTTCTTTTGCCCATGTTTTCAGTATTTTTATTTCTTCTTATGCTTTTTGGTAGAATCTTATCAATCATCAATGAAATTCACCTTTTTTGCTCTAACTGTTTGTTTATATTTCTTTGATGGTTAAAGTTCTTAGCTTAATCTATGATGACTAATCCATGTTTGCATTTGAAGTAGCCCCAGTGGCCATGAGTAAGTTTAAAATCTGGTTATCTCACATTTTTTATGCAACTTTTTGATGATTCTAAAACAGGGGAAAAGGTTGTGCTTTATACTTTGAACAGTGATGTTTATCACCTAATGTACTTGGTCTTTGATGATAAGTGATAAAAAGGAAAAATATTTCTAACATTATGTTGATGTTGAGCTAAGTATAAACAAGGCCTAAGGTTATAAAAGCACAGAGTTTATCATTATCAAAATGGGAACATTTTTTGGCCCAAGTGAAGGTTATTTTTGAAGATTAACAAAGGAAGCCAGGCATGAATCAGGTCCATCCCTTGTGTGCATAGAAACGGGTAGATTCGAGTATGTGGGATGCACGTGAAGATATGAGCTTAACTTGGTATATTTGATATCTCCTGATCGAAAAGGTTGCATAATTGATAAGGAGAAGGACTCCTTACTCAAAGAGAACACTATCCAAGATAGCGAAGGAGTTAGAAGTTGAGATCAACTACAACTCTTCCACTAAGGAAGAGTAGCATTAGAACTCTAGTTATTTCTTCATCTACTAACTCTATAAATTGTAGGATGTTCTCACTTTACAGGTAATGCACAAATGCAGAAGTTAAACAAGAATTGAGAGCAAAATAGCAAGGTATTTTTGTAAGCAATTCGTGTGTGATTCAAGTGTGCAAACCTGAAGCTACATGAACCAGATAGAAGAACCAGTTCCAAGTGTCTGTCTTTTATTCTGGTTCAATTGTAGTAGGTGTTTTCATATTGTACCTTTCAGCTTTATCTAGAGGCAATTATAATAGGTACTCAGAGTATTCAAGTTAGAGTTTACTTGAAGTTGTCGCAACAGTTAGAGGCTGTTTGCTACAAGGGATCAGAGTTAGTCCTAGGTTTACAAAAGTGTTTTTGTAAATGTAGTTTTTGGCTCAGTGATTTAGTGGAGAGTTTGAGAAATCCTACTGGGAAGTAGGTCGTAGTTTTTTCACCTTTTGAGCCAGGTGTTTTCCACGTAAAATACTTGTGTTCTTTACTTTCCGCATTTACTATTTCAGCAATAGTAGGTTAAGAAACTCTTAGAAGAACCAGATCCTTCCATAATCTGCTTAAGCAAAAATTGGACTCCACACAAATCACCCCTCCTCTTGTGTGGTATTGAAGTTAAAACATCAATTTGTGACTATAAAGTCAATGTCGTGAAGTTTAAATAGTATGTTAAATTATTTTTAAATTCAAAAGATTGTCAAAATAGACTAAAAAAGAGAGAGAGTTAAAGAAAATGAAAAGGAAAGACGACTATATTCAACATGTATGACATTTTCCATCTCGCATATGATAAAGAAAAAGATATCATTCTTTTTAAAGCAATTTAAAAAGAAAAACGTTTGATATAAAATATGAGACAAATGAAATAGTAGCTTTATGCCCAGCACGTTTGTTCTTATGGCTGTGCACAGGCAAACTGCCGCCTCTAAAGTGGGAGGACTCACAATTATGGTAATGCATGGGTTGTGTGGTATTGAAAATGTTAAAGGAATATCTAGTACTCTTTTTTTTGAGAAACTGGAATAATTTTATTGGTAAGACTACGTAACGTCCATTACAAGATCCAGCGAATCATTACAAAAGGATGAAAGGCCATATATGGCATTTAGGTTACCAAGATTGGCAAGTTTCCTACAGTTACTTTTCACAAACAGATTTATTTTTTTGGAGAAAAACCCTCCTTGTCCTCCAGCATCCTGGACTCAACAAAGGTAGGGGTTACAACATAACAGACTAAACCATAGTGCATTGGTTTCTTGGCTCCTTCCTGGACTAGCAGGTGAGCGACTTCATTTCCTTGTCTAAAGCTATGCCGGATCACCACTTCCTTGTCCTTCTGGGAGATCAAGTACCTGCATGATTGTAGCAAAAAATCGTAAGAGGTGTTGCCCTCTTTTAAAAGATCAATTAACTGTGTTGAATCAGTTTCTATTTCACGAGGCCATATGTTGTGTTGAGAGATAAACTCTAGGCCTTTTACCAGAGCTAGAATTTCAGCATGTGTACAATTTACAGCTTGGACTCTTTGTTGGAATCCCATGATCCATTCTCCTGCGTTATTTCTTATGACTCCTCTTATTCCTGCGCGAGTCTGGTGGAAAGCTCCATCTGTATTTAGCTTAAACCAACCAGCACGGGGTCTGTGCCATTGAGTGTTGCAAATAATATTTTTTGAGGGAGAGCTTTCTCTAGATGTTAGTAATGCAAATTCAATCGCTTGCTTAACAACGGAAGAGATTAAAACACGGTTAGAAGTATTGTTTTCGAGGTTATTATTTCTATTTAGCCAGAGATTCCAAATTGCAAAGGGAAATAATTGGGACCAAGTAAGCAATGTAGAAGGAATGGACGAGTTAGAATTTTTCAATTTGTCTACCCATAGGTTATCCTCAGAAATAGGCCAGTTAGTACTGATGTTCAGGGATTGCCAAATTATTTTTGCCATAATGCAGTGAATAAAAATATGGGGGATGTCTTCTTCGTGCTGGCGATATACAGTACATATTTTGTCTACATTCATTTCTATATGATGAAGGTAGGATCTAGAAGGTAGTCTATTGTGATAATATTTCCATAGGAGAAATTTTAATTTGTTGGGACATTGAGATTCCCAGATCCAACTAAAGTTTTTCGAAGGAGTCTCGTTGGGCTCAATGAGGTTGTAACAGGAAGATGTAGAGAATAATCCATTGCTATTAGGTTCCCAAGTCAAGAAGTCATGGTTTCTTTATGTTGGTAAGCTAATGGACTGAATTTTATCAACTAAGTTGTTTGGCAGAACTGGAGAGATTTTATCTAATGACCAAGTGTTGTGAGTGATGAGGTCTTTAATGGTAATAGAGCAATCTTTTTTTGTAAGAGGGCCCTTAATGATATTCCTAAGATAGGGGCTTTTTGGAATCCATTTTGTATCCCAAATGTCAAGGGAGGAGTTATGACCTATATGCCACAAACAACCTTTTATACAAAAGTGCCAACCTTTTAGGATACTTTTCCAACAAAAAGATTGAGTTTAGTAGGGGAAGATATATATGTTTGCTTGAGGACTTTGGCCCAAGGGGTGTGAGGATAGTTTAGGAATCTCCAAGCAAGGCTTGTTAGGAGAGCAAGGTTTTTTGATTTAGCTTTCTTAAGGCCAAGGCCACCTTTGTTTTTTTCTAGAGTAATTGTATCCCATTTAAGGAGGTGTAGTTTCTTTTTAGAATCATTGGATCCCTAGATAAAATCTCTTTGAAGTGTATTAATGGTTTTAAGGATTTTTTCTGGGAGAAGGGTATATTGCATTACGTAATTGAGAATACTAGCAAAGGTTGAGGATGTAAGGGTGGTACGACCTGCCATGTTAATATAATTAATTTTCCAATTTGCTAGACGACTTCGCATATTATCAATAAGGAAGTGAAAGTCTTTGGATTTTGGAGTGGAATCCAGTATGGGGAATCCTAAGTATATTCCAAAAGAATTACTACTCTTTATACCAAAGAAACTAGAGGTAGCAACTTTAATGTCTTTGGTGCAGTTTTTGGAAAAAATAATTTTTGATTTGGCCATGTTGATGCTTTGACCGGAGTACTTGCAAAACATGTCAAGGCCAGACTTAATAGAAGTGCAAGATTTTTGATTGATGTGACTCATAAGGGTTAGGTCATCTGCGAAAAAAAGGTGAGATAGAGGAAGGCCATTTGAGCAAAAGGTAATTGGATCCCATCTTATGTCTACTTGAAAATTAATATAACGTGATAACATTTCCATGCAGAGAATAAAAATATAAGAAGATATGGGGTCACCTTGTCTAATACCTCTACTAGGGTAGAAAAAATCACTCCTTGCACCATTCACAATAACAGCCATACTGGATGTGGTGATACAGGACATGATTAATTTTGACAGGTTAGGAGGGATTTTGAAATATTTAAGGGTTCTACATATGAAAGACCATTCCAACTTGTCAAAAGCCTTTTCTAGGTCAATTTTTAGGATCATCCTATTCTTTTTACTGGAGCTTTTCTTGAAGTTATGGATGATCTCTTGAATAAGGATTGCATTATCACTAGCTCTTCTATTTTTTAGAAAGCTGGATTGGAAGGGGCTGATGATTTGGTCTAGGAATGGTTTTAACCTATTAGCTATAATTTTAGTGATGATTTTATAGCTGGTGTTGCATAATCCTATAGGTCGGAAGTTCCTAAGATTATTAGCATTGTGTATTTTAGGGATAAGGCACAAATAAGTGGAATTAATGTTGGCAGGGATTTGGTAGGAAGTGAAGGTTTCATGACAAAAGGAAGTAACACTAGGCTCGATAAATTTCCAGTATTTTTGATAGAAGAATGGGTGAAAACCATCTGGACCAGGCTCTTTGTAAGGTTTAAAAGAAAAGATAGCCTTGATAATTTCACCTTTTGAAAGCGGCTTGTCTAGTGGTGAGAGGTCAAAGGAGTCAAAACTAACAAGGCCACTGAAAATATCCGATTTCTTTGTAAAGCAGTGGGAAGTTGTGAAAGCATTCTCAAAAAATTTTGAGCATGAGTAAGGATATCAATATGATTGTCAACTCAATTCCCTTGGTCATCTTTAATGAAGCTAACATGGTTTCTTCTTCTCCTATTAGAGGCACTTATATGAAAATTTTTTGTGTTTGCGTCCCCATCATTGAGCCATGAAATTCGTTATCTAAGTATCCAATAGTCTTCTTCTAGTTTAAGGATATTATTGAAGTCATTTTTCAGAGAAGATTCTAGGCTTTGGAGAAAAGAACTATGAGTATAATTGAGGGAGTTTTGTATACCCTTAAGGCGAGCCAGAATTCTCTTTTTTCTTTTAAAGACATCACCAAAAGTTTCTTTACTCCACTTGGAGATGTTGGTAGTAAAATTGTGAGTGGCTTCTAAGAGGTTATGATTAAGCCAATTTTGACGAACTAAGTTGACAAAATCAGGATGAGTACACCAAATATTCACTATCCTAAAGGGTTTACGAAGAGTTACATGAGTAAAGGAGTTAAGGTTTAAGAGAAGAGGATTGTTGTCAGAGTAAGTTTTTGAAAGATGGGTTACTGTGGCATTAAGGAAAAGATTTGCCCAGTCTTCATTACCTAAAAAACGATCTAGTCATTCCATAATTAAACCCTTAAACCTTTTCCTATGGTTGGACCACGTAAATTTGCTACCCTTATAACCTAAGTCCATAAGTCTACATTTGTTAATAAAGTTCCAAATCCTAGAGGTCCTATTAATACTGACAGTTCTTCCTCCAAATTTTTCGGATGACATAGTAATGTCATCAAAATCTCCACCCACTAACATCCTCCCTTGTAGCTATTGGAAATATTAATAAGATTTTCCCACATAGAATCTCTAGCATGAATATTAGTACTAGCGTAGATAGTGCTTAATAACCAAGTAAAGCCAAAGGGAAGTACCTCTATCATTGCATGAATTTCTTGACCCCTCCTTGTGAAATTATGAACACTGACCACGGTATGGTCATAGAGAATGGCCATTCCTCTAGATTGGCCTTCAGAGGGAACTTCGATCATCTCAGAGAAATTGAAATCATTAAGAAGGGAACCATGCGTTGCCATTCTGGTTTCAAGGAGAGCAACTAAGCAAGGCCTATGAGTGTTAACTAGGTCCCTAAATTACGACGAAAGTCGTCATTGTTAGCACCACGGACATTTCAGAAGATGATTCTAGTGGATCTCATCATTCTTGGTTGGCGGGGTGGGTTGACAGTCATCTCCTCCTCCTCCAAGTTGGAGTTTGAGGTCCTCCTTTGGCATGGAACCAAGATCACTGCATGGTTCCCACAGTTGGGTCCCGTGGAGGCCTTATGTCCACTGAGCATTTGAATATTGAAGGAGGGCAGTATGAAGTTCTTGCTCAACATCTCCTTGAATAGTAGTACTTTTACTTCGTTTAGGTTTGCAAATTCCACACTCGATTCCATAAGTAGAGGATCTATTTCTTCCATCTCTTCTGGGTGATTTTCTACTGGTTCTTGCACATTGGGAGGTGGATTGTTTCCCATCTGCATTGGGATGTTGTTCTAGGCATTTGCATGTGCATGCATGTCCCAGGGCATGAAAATGGGGTTGATTTGAGAGAGCTCCTCCGGTAGGAAGAATGGAAGCTCTACTGGTGGATTTTATGGGGCTTGAGGGTTTGCTTGGGGAGGAAGATTCCATTGTTGTTGCATGGTTTGAATCAGATTTTGATTCATTGTTAGAGCCAAGGGGTGTAGGACATTGTTGATCCATATTTGGTTCATGTAATTGTTCATGGCTAGCCTCATCCCTTCCGATATTAGTTGAGCAAGGTAAGGGGTGCTCTGGATTATAAGGACCGTGTCCTGGCCATTGATGTCCATATTGAACGAGATTGCATGGCCCGTCAGTCCTGCTTCTAGCCAAGATAGGGGTTGGTAGTTTTGGGGAAGTGGGGGAGAGGTGTAGTAAACTGTTGCCTCTGGGAGATGAGGGGGAAGTGGAGGAAGGTTGTTCATTGTTGGGAGGTGTTGGTAACAAAGGATTTGAAGAAGTCTGTTTCTCCTCCTCGATGAGATTGGTAATCTTGGCATTTTTTTGAGTGGCAGAGTTTATATTAAGGATTTTTGGACGAGTGGGATTGGTGCTAGACAATTGCCTAGGTAACTTTATAGTAGAACTTTCTACTTGCATTGGGTCAGATTGGGGAAGAGTAAGGGAGTTAACAAGATCCTTGGAGGATTTTGTTTGTGACACTTGGTCGTGAGAGGTGTCCATTTGGCATACCTCAAAGAGCTCGTTGGCTGGTGGAGATAGAGGAGCTTTGGAATTAACGGGAAAGATAATGTCAGTGCATGGGGTGTTTGC